AAAGAACTTCCGTGCTACTTGGATGCACTTCACACATATGCTCCTTGAACTATTTCTATTATGGAAACATTGTTGGCGTATGCCCCAGACGGTACTTGTGTAACCGAAAATGGAATATTCTAGCAACTTATGGGCTTTTTAACCTTGTATCAAAGGGTTTTCATTCTGCAAACCTATTATACAAATAGATAGAATATGGTTGTACAGGAAATATAAAAGAACGCTACTGATGGCAGTCACATAAGATTGCAAGAGTAACATTTTCCCAATTGCTTTCGCTCTAGTCGAAGGAGATATTAGTGTTTGTTGGAGTTTCTTTCTCAAGAATCATCAAACACACGTTTCTTTGCAACCTAGTCTCTGTTTGATTTCTGACAGACATGCATCTATTGAGAGTGCATACAAAAATCATGCTAATGGTTGGCACAAACCTCCTTCTATGCATACCTACTGCATTAGACATATTACACAAAATTTCATGCGGGATATCAAAGACAAGATGCTTTGAAAAACTCTTGTGAACATGGAACATGCATTAACTCAATTATAATTCTAACACTATCTCAACGAGATCAGATTGTCAAATATGGATGCCGAGAGATGGGTTAATAATCTTCTAGTGGAGAAATGGACGAGGTCATATGACAATGTATAATGATGGGGCCAAATGACAACAAATCTTGTGGAACCAATGAACATTGTCTTCAAAGGCATATGAAACCTCCCGATAACCGCTTTGGTGAAATCAACCTATTTTAGGATAACTTCGTTGATCGCAAAAATAGGTGAAAAGTGGAGTGTAGTGTTACAATCAGGACAATTGTGGAGTGAAAGCTGCATCAAATTTAAGAAGGAAGAAAGTGACAAAGCCAACACACATCATGTTACAAGATTCGACTGTCATAACCATAAGTTCATTGTCAAAGAGACGATTAACCACAACAATGGGGTTCTACTACCATCTCGTTAGTTCGATTATGGAAAGTTTCAAGCCTTTTGTATGCCTTGCTCCCTTGTCATTGCGACATTTTCGTATGCTCATCGAGATGCATTATCACTTCTATCTCCCGCTTAAAAGGCTGATACCTTGCTTAACGTATACAAAAATGGCTTTCCAGTGGTAGAAAAAGAGGATTATTTCCCCACGTATGAAGGGAAAATAGTTTGGCACAATGACCAAATGCAAAGGAAGAAAAAGGGTCTTCCCAAAACCAAGTGTATTACAATCACTACAAGGAATAACACTTTTTATGATGAAGTTTTCATCTCCAACATGCTAAAAACTGAGAGGATATGTCCTAGGAGCACAATGCTTGATTTTTTTAATAAGATAAACAACATGTTACATCAACGTTTTATAAAAAACTGAGGTAACAAAGTTATAAGTTAGCGCCTTTTTTCATCCATAAAAAATAATAAACATGTTATCTTGGTTTTTTTGAGAACTGAGGTAATATAGCTATAAGGAACCTCGCTTCAAATCCCCGTTGCCGTATTTAAAACTTTTTTCAATGGATTATCACTTAGCATCTTTTCCAAATGCCATGTTTTTTTTATTAATTAATAATTCTCAAAAACTTTGTTATCAATAAATAAGAATAAACAATAATAGTAAAAGGAAATATTTCATTGATGATAAAAAAAACAACACAACAAAGAAAACTACTTAACAAATTCAAACTTCTCAGTCCACTCAACTTCAACATTACCCCTAGCTATCCCTAACTTATAGAAAAGTTCAGAAAGAACTCTTCCATATGGTATGCGAAAAGCCATTTCCTCCCGATAAGTCTTTATCATTTCCTTCAAGAAGTTGAAAATGGTAAGAGGAAAATTAAATCTGATGTTGTAGGGGAGAAGTAACAAGAGATGCTTGTGATACCAAGTAAGCGTTTCCAGATCTTCCTCTCTTGGGCGTAGGTTTGCCACTAGAAATCGAAACTAAAATTCTGCAATTGGGAGTAGAGAAACAGGACTGGAGAGCTTATTTTGATTGGTATAAAGTTTGTGAAGGCAGTTTGCATAGACATTGTTGAATTCATAATCTTAAACTCAACTACTAAACTTTTCACAATTGATTGTCAGAGCAATTAGTGATAGAGTAATGAAGAAATGAGAGTCATTGACATAGGACTAGATGATTTAATCATGACCAGCTGAGACAACAGGGGAATTCATCCAGAACCCTTTAACGAGATTAGTGTATATAGGTCCATGAAGAATGTGAAAGTAATCATTCAATCTTTCTTTGTTAATATCTTTCCTTAGTTCAAAACGGTCGAAATCATTGAAATTAACATACTTTTTATTGATAACGAATAATAGATTTGTATCCATTTTCATAAGAAAAAAAAGAGACTTTGAAACAAGGAAACAAGACACAGAGAGTTGGTAATGAGGCGTTGAAAATAGGAAAAGACTTTGAAACAATGTTTGAAGACACAACGAGTTGGTAATTAGACGTTTAAATAACTCAAAAGCCTCCTTGATGATCCAAAAGAGACATTACGACTTGAATATAACTGATCATTGTTATTCTAGTGATATGATTTTAATGCATGAACGCCCAATCGGTGTTCTAACCTCTCTTTAATTGTATTTTTTATTTGTAAATTAAATGTTCTAACCCGTCGGTGTTCTTAAAAACTGAGGGAAAATTGAGCGTTAAAATTGGAACCTCTATTTTAATTGTATTTTTTATTTGTAAAATATTCTAACTCGTCGGTTTTCCTAAAAACTGAGGGGATATTTAGCATTAAAATTGAGGATATTTATCAAATCTTTTATCAAATATTTTCCGTCCATTTTATGACTATCAATGCTCAAAATATTACCATTAGTGATCCGCGTGAAACATAAATAACTTTTATTATAAAAACATTCTGAATATCAAGAATTATGCCTCTCAAACAAGTAACATCGTGAAGAATTTAAGGTTTGCAAGAGTGTTTGCCATGAATAGTTCTCTATGATGGATTGCAAGAGTAGAAAATTATTTGAGTTTAAGTATTGTGTTCTTAGATATTTATTTGAGAAGAAAATTATTTATTTATCTAAAACTTTTTTGTTTAACCATTTTTTTGTTCATATCAAAAACAAATGCAAGAAAAAGTTATAGAGAATATCATGCATCCATCATTTGATCTATCCTAAAATTATATGATTTGAGGATCTAAAATTTATATCTTGGGGAAATTATTTGAGTTTAAGGTTTGTGTTCTTAAATATTTATTTGAGCAGAAAATTATTTATTTATCTAACCCCGTTTTTGTCTATCCTTTTTATTTTAGGAGAAAAGAGTTTCCCAACATTTGATCTTGCCTAGAATATCAAGGAACTGAAGATCCAACATATGATCTTCATAGACAATTAATTTTTTTTCTGTGTAAAAAATATAATATTCTGGATAAATATTGTAGTTTGTAAACAAATTATTTTATTAATATTTTGTGTAAACAATGTAACAAATTTTCATTTAAAAAAAAAAAACTAATAACCTCTCGGTTTTCTTGATAAACTGAGATAAAAAGCGTTGTTTTTGTAAATAATAAAAGTGCAGAAATTTGGGTTCAAACCCATGCATTAATAAAATTATATCCAGGTGTTTTAAACCCCGAGATGATAAATCTTTACTTTTTATGACAACCTTAGTAACCTCGCTTCTAATATTGAGGTAAAACGTATTTCGTGTTCGACGTTAAATATGTTATTTATAATAGAGAATTGAAATATATACGAGTGACATGCTAGAAAGAAAGTATGGTATATGCCGTCAGGTCGGACACACAGGAAAACACTATTCCACTCGTGCTACAAGCTCGACAACATAAAAATTGTATGCATACTTTGTAATTTATTTTTAGAGTTGAACTGGATTTTTTTATTAAGCATGTTGGTTACAACAAACCGAATGCATACAACAATTACAATTAGTTAACACGTCAAAATATTTAAGAAATTGCAACGTTCAAAACAATTTCTTCTAATCCATGTATCATCACCATTACATCCTTGTCTTTTTTTACATCCTCCCACCAACGTTGAGGTTTTCTGGTCGCAAGTGAGATTGTCGTTCTTTGTCTCTAAATTCTTCTGATGACTTTGCTATATTAGATATATCTGTCTAACCATTAGATCAACTTTCTCTTAAGATGCTCCATAAAATGGATGTTCCAAAATTTTATTTTTATTGGGGGTTTAATAGCTGAGAAACAAACATACACATCTCTTTTGAAAATCATGTTAGATCTCATGATGAAAAAATTAAAGAGAAAGTGAGAAGATGTGTGAAGAATGTGGGATGAATGAAGTATTATTTATAGAAAACTTACATACACTCATGCGCCACATGAGATGATTCATTTTCACAAACATTACATGTACACACCATCTCATATGACGCTTAGGCAATACATACACCATCTCATATGGAGTTTAGGTGTATTTTTAGATGCATGCGTCATACGAGATGATTTCTCCACTTATTTTATTTTTAAAACCTAATTATTTACGTGATTTTTTTTAGAGAATTGATTATTAATATATTTTAATTTTAAAACATAGTTATTCCTAAAAAAAAAAAAATTCTACAAAAACTCTGAACATATATGAAAACAGAAAAATATAATTCAATACTATTTAAAATCTCCTATACTGTGTTTTGTGATATTTATTTGTTTTAACGTTTATGTGTTTATATATTTTTGAAACCATTTTAAAATTTAAGTTGGCTTTTTTCAAAATCAAGAGATCAAAACTATCCTTTATTGACTTACATTTTGAAACAACTAATATTATTATTAGAGAAAAAAATAAAATGCATTCATCACTAATTATGAGTTCAAATCTTGATATCTAGGATCGGCAACAAAAATAATGATCGAACCATATTATTATACATAGCTAAAATATTGTATGTACATCCCCAAACAACTGAGTCAGAAGTCGGTATACAATATACTGGGATAGGATCTGCTACCTAATAAAACATGAACGTTAAGTTATCCTCTGCTCTTGAGCAGTTTGAGGCGTTGGGCACACTCAATGAAACTTCTGCAACCAAACACACAATTTATTATATAGGTAGAAATTATTATGGATGTAGTGAGTGATTAATAGTTACCTCCATGAAACATCTTGAGCAAGAAGCCAGTCACCTTCTTTGTCTTGATAAACCAGTTCATACTTTTGATCAACACTACCTATTGACGTGCATTTTCCAAACATGTCCATCAAAGTTTGGTTAAGAGTGTGAAATGAATTGTACGTGCTAAGATTAACTTTTCTAGCTATTCCTACACCCTCCATCTTCACCTTCACGTAATTTCTTGACACCACGTGATTCTCATTATAACGAAGTTTCTTTCTCCTATAATAAACCGGAGGCCAACCCACGAGAGCTTCTTCATCATCCTCACCGGTACTAGTCCTATAAATAAGTCATATATCATATTTTGTTAACTAATGAAGGTACTGAAATTGAAATATATATTGAAGAATGGTAATAAGGAAGTACTAGTATTACTTGGTGATGGTGGAAGTGGAACTGTGAGAGGAGTGTTCGTAATCATGATGATCTGAGTGGGCAGGAGTTAATGGGAGAAGAGAAAGAGTAGGAAACATAACATCTGATCCGTTGGTATTACTAGACGTTTCTTCTGCATGTTGCAAGAGTTGGGAAAAACTACGTTTGTTATTAGGGAAATGAGTCTTGCAAGCAGCATCATAGGCATGAGAATGTGAAAGAGTGAGACTCAAATGAAGGTCCATAGTGAGAAAGAATAAGAAGTGGGGATGGAGCAGGTTGGATTAGAATGAAGTTGGAAGATGAGAGAAGAAGGGAAAATGGGGTATTGTAGATATATAGAGTGAAGGAGAGCCTTGCGGGAAAGAGACAAGATGTTGGAATTGATATAAGCTGTCTGTGTCAATGCTAGCCTTTTTACCGACACAGTTCCCTCTTCTTCTTTCTTTGCTCATGCTTCATGTGCAGTCATGTTCCACCTCCGGGCCTATATAATCATGACTATTAATTGTAAGCAAGTTGCACACGAGCGTACAAAAAGGTAGTGGAAAATTATTTATTTTTATTTCATTATTATTTATAAAAGAAATTGTAATAACTAGAATTTAAACTCTGAAGTTAGCGTACAAAAGTCGAAATTTAAAATTTATTAGAGTTTAAATTGAGACTTTGTGATAAAGTAGTTTATACTCTCTAAAAGTACTTTTATGTGACAATTTTTAGTGATAAAAAATTGTCAGAGATTTTAAAATTGTTGTGGTATTAGGAGCTAGCTTACTTAAGGTGAGATTATTGTATCTGTCTATTTTCTTTGTGGTAGTTAGGTTAGCCTGTCACGGAATGAAAATATTCATAATCTCATAGGCTTGGATTCCAGTCTCCCTAGGATATCGTAACCATCCTAGAAATGGGTAGTCGATTCCCTAAAATCTAGGGAACATAGTCGATCCCACGAGCCCTAATGCAATGTTTGGGGACCTAATACATGTTTTACGCACAATTATGTGTTATGGACTGGGACACTAAGATCTCGTGCAACGTATGAAAAGAAAGGCGTCATGTCCGAATGAGGGGCGCTCGAACCAATAAAAGAGCGACTTGGAAAGGACGATGGGCTAAGTGTATGCCTTCGCCCCGCTCTCTTCCAATTATACAACTACACAGTCCTTTAAACACGAAGGCTCGTAGAGGCCGAAGTGTTTTTATCCCTGAGTCACCTTTGAGCCTTCCTCACGAGTCTACTCAAAGTTGTATTCCTCCTTCAATTCTTGAAGTCTCACATGATCCTCACTACTACGAATTACGTTTTTTATGACGAAACTTTCACCTCGAACAAAAAAAATCAAGAGTATACGTCATGGAAAAGCCATGTTATATTTTAAAAAATATATAATCAATATTTTCCCACGATTTAAAAAAAAGAAGGAATATAGCTATAAGGGGAGTTCACTTTGAATCACAATCATTGTATTTTAAGTTTTGTTAAAATGATTTAATTAGTATTTCTCTCTTGGCGCCTTTTTAGCTTCCCTTTTTTCTTTGTTAACTTTTTTTCTTCATTTTTTATCCGTATTAACCTCGGTTATTAGGTCCAAGTGAGAGTTAATACATTTTGCATCAATATTTTCAAATTACTATTTTCAAAAGCCCATTTTAATTTTTAATTTTATATATTTAATTTCCTCAACTTTCATCAAAAACTGACATGATATATATTTTAAATGAATTTCCATAATATGGCGCTATTGTGATTTTCTATATTTTTTATTTTTAATTAATACTTTCACGTCAGTTTTAATATAAAACCAACGTGTCACATATTTTGCATGAAATATTTCAACTACTAGCTAGTTTCAAAATTTTCATTTACCCATACACTCTAACATCATTTCGTCATTCCCTAAGCAAAAATCATAGGCGATTTTCATCGTCACTCTTCCAACAAATATTTTTCAAAATTTGAACCAAAACGTTTGTTGTTCTTTATCACATTTGAGGTTTATATCACTGAAATGGTTTATTTCGCTTGTACATTTGTTCTTCTTTATCACGTTTAAGGTTTATATCACTAAAATAGTTTCTGTTGATCATTTTATTTTTCACTAAAATGTTAGTTAGTCTCTTGATCATTTTGTTTCTACGTGTTTGTCTCATGATATTAATGGTCAATTCGACAAACACCTCTCCCACATCTGTTAGTACAAAATGTAAAAGAAAAACTAGAGGTACCATTATGTATACCAAGGTGAAAAAAACCCATGAAAGTGGTGTTCGCTAGCTGATTACAGTTGATATATAAACCAGTAGGGCTTATGGTGACCATGCTAAGGATTTTATGGGTTAGATTGTTTTACAAGGTAGAAGTAGAGTGAGTATTTTGATAGATAGTTGGCACGAAGTTGACGAGGACTTGAAAAACGCCATATGGGATGATGTTAAGGTATTTATTTTGAATTTTATGATGTTAAAGTGAGTGTATATGATCATTTATTTCTTGTTTAATACTAATAACATCTCTATTGTGTAAATATTGGAAGTGTTTATTTTTAGTCTAGAGGATAGAATCATGAAAAAGAAATCGCTTACATATTGTGGTGAGCGTTTGAGGGGTTTTAAGACACATCTCACCCATGATTCTAGAGTTGGGAGATTCTATAAATCCTGATCGCACTCCATCTTGACCATCATGCCACGAGAAGAAGAGGGCACATCAAAGAAAAGATGACTAGTTCACATTAGATGTTACACGTGAAGTGGCTCAAAAGATTATAGGTAGATTTTTTTTAATAATATTTATTTTAGTTAAATCAATCTGGTAAAGATGAAATTTCATATGTGTTGTAGGATGATCTGGTTGAACAAGCCAAATTCGGCCTCTTCCTTTCATAAGATCTTTGTGACATCTTGGCATAAGCGATTGTAATCGAGGAGCATCCTGGGCGTGTCTGTGGTCTTAAAAGAGACGTTGGCTTCAAGGTAATTTTTTTTACCATTTAAATCACCTAGAGAAGTAAATCGTAAGAAGGAGATTGAAGATATTATTGTTGTTAAGTTAGGGGAGGTAAGGGAGAAGTGGATGGAGGTAAGGGAGATGATGTTGGAGGAGGAGAGGGAGAGGTGGATGGAGGAGTGAGAGAGGATTTTAGAGGAGGAGAGGGAGAGTTTGTTGTAGAAGGTACGAGAGAGTGTCTAGAAGGAGCAAGAATAGTGAGATAGGGTGGATAAGGAGGAGTGAAAGAAGTCGAATGAGGAGGATCTTGATAAGATGTCTGAGAAATGTACCCGCGATGTTCTTTAGGTATCAAAATAAGTTTAAAAAATTGTGTCGTATGTCGGTGCTATTATTGTTTGCGTATTTTAATTTTGTATTGTATCTCTATTATTTTAATGATGCAAAAATTGAATTCATTGGGTCTAATTAACCACACAAATTCAAGTCAGTTGGAAATTCATGAGAATGTAGTTGAGAAACTTATCGATTGTACAATCACAAAAAAAAGTTGTTCTACCATCCAAAGTAGTATTGAAACCACACTACCAAAACTAGATAACACTAAGAGACTATCGATGAAGTTAGATAGAATTTCATGCCCATGCATGGGTATTAAATTAAGTCATAATCCAACTCAGTTATTCGTACTTTCTAAGATTTATATTGAGGATTTTTGTGTGGAAGATGATAGTGTAAGAACAGGAAGTGTTTCTACATTTAGCCTTAAGATTTTGATGATAACTTTACAATGTATCATAAAGAACAATTATATACTGTAATGGTTTTGTTCTAGTGTGTAGTTGCTGCTGTAATGTTCTAAGTCTGGTATCAATGCGGGTGATGTCATCAGGTTCGGAACATAAACACTACTGGAAGAAAAAAATTGATTACGTGTTACAGTTGAAGTCAAGATTCTGGAATTTGTCTTATGCAATGGTTCTTATGAACGTTAGTACAAAAATTTCTGATCGTGACTTTGTGGTTAATCTTTGGAGGCCTTCTAAAGCTTTGCTTCTGTGTGTTCCAAGTTCTAAAGATTATGAAGACGAGGTTCTTCTGAACAAATTCTAATGATCGGAAGAAAAACAAGTTCTTACGATCAAGTGTTGAAGACTCTGAAGACAAGGTTCTGATGGGAGAAGTTATGAAGACTCCAACACTTAGGTTCTAAGACTTAAGAGTGATTATTCTACAACATGCTTAAAATATTCAAATTATCTGAAGCCTTTGAAGATTATAAGAAGTTCAAAATGGTTAATGTGTGATGGTGTACAAAAGATACAAAAAGTGCTATGCAACCTCTACCCTCTAGGGTGGCGTAAAGACAGTCCTTTCGTACTATATTATCAACAACTCTCATTATGACCGTTAGGAACAAATAGATGTTTTCCATATTATTTTTCTACCCTTAACGTATCTATATCTACAAGCTAAAGTAGAAAAACATCTATTGAATATAAGGTTAAAGTTATACGTTGAACAAATAAATGTTTTCCATATTATTTTTCTACCCTTAACGAATCCATGTTGTTATACCCCAAAATTTGCCCTCCCATATTCCTCAAGAAATTGTCAAGCCAAGCTCCCCAAGGGTTGTGCAGTGCAACAGTCTTCTAAACAGTCCAAATTAGGGTTTTGAGTCTGATCAAGAAAAGGAGGTTTTCAAGAGCTCAATCAAGTCTCATAGGCTTACAAACATGGTTAAGCATCCCCATATCAAGTTTCAAGGCATTCAGTTCAAGATTGCACAGTCAAAACCCTAGATTGCACTATAGTCAACTGTAGGGGCAAAATGGTCATTTGACAGTCAAAAGTTCAAATTTTTGGTCAACCTATCATTTTGAAGCCACAAACATCATTTGATCAATGCTTGATCATGATTCTCAAAATTTGGCTCAGAAATCATCAAAGATGCAAAAGTTGCTATATTTGGACAGCTGAAAAAGTCAACTGAAATTGACCAGGGCATAACTTTCACATGGATTATCAGAAAAATTCCATCCAAAGCTCATTTTGAAGAGAAAGACATTTCCTACAACTCATCTTCATACTTCAAGTCCAAGAAATGCTCTCACAAAAAGTTATCAATCTCAACATTACAGGTCATTTTCAAAAGTCAACAAAAAGGGACTTTAAGTCAAAGACCATAACTTGAGATTGGTAAATCAAAATGACATGGGACCAAAGACATTGGTTAAAGGACTCAAAGACCTTTCCAAAATGTCCAAGAACATGTGAAAAGCTTAAAAATTG